AGAGAGAAGAGAGAAAAGAAAGAAAAGAGAGAAAAGAGAGAAAAGAGAGAAAAGAGAGAAAAGAGAGAAAAGAGAGAAAAGAGAGAGAAGAGAGAGAGAGAGAGAGAGAGAGAAGAGAGAGAAGAGAGAGAAAAGAGAGAAGAGGGAGAAGAGAGAGAAGAGAGGGAGACAGAGGTGCCAAGGACACACCAAACAGGAAAAGAGGGGCTCCCAGCTATGACGAAAGCATCCAGGGACACCCCGAAAGAGAAAAGAAAGAGAGAGAGAAATCTAAGGTCCCGACAGGTTCCAACGAACCTGTAAAAGAATGGCTTTGGTCGCTCTGACCATGTTGAGGCGTTAAGCCAGCTTAGACCGCTGCTGTCACGTAAAGGCATGAGCCAGCTTGGAATTCAATAATCCGACAAGTCTTGGCAAATATCTTTGGCATAAGCCTCCTGCGGTCCGCTTCGGACACCTACGTTCCCGGGCATGGGGAACAACGACTAACTCCGTTCGACCACAGAGGGCACTCTGCGGGCTCACCCTGGGCTGGCATGAAGCCAGACACACTTAAGATTTTGCGTACTGACTCGAATGCCGCTCGCCACACGGCAACCTAAGAAACCAGATTCCTGAACAACCAGGTAAGGAGGCCTGAGCGCCTTTAGTCAAAGGCCAAAGTTCCAACTCCACGATGCGACGAACAGGTCGAGTTGACGGCGGCCGCTCTTGTCTGCAGAGTGCACTAGCCTAATTTAACATCAGGGTAACAGCTTGCAAACGCCATAGGCAAGCAGGTACGTGGATTCTGCGTCCAGAGCCCATATCAGTGACTCGTAACAGCCTCTTCGTTGGACTGCCACTGTTACAGGTCAGGCAGTCCCCCTGCCCCTGCTGAACCCTTGCTGAGAAAACTCAAAAAACAAGAGCAATCCTACAGGATCCCTGTGATTCCAAGAAGTGCACACACACACACACCCTCGGGATAGGGTGTATGGAACTGAATGCCTCACGCCACACGGCAACCTAGGAGTAAATCATGTAGGGGGGGTTTGACTATCTTAGGTTGGAGGCCATTGCTTCAAGGTTGGAGGCACCCAGGTTAACAAACTGGAAAATTGGACACTGACCGGAAAATTGGAAACTGGAAACTGCGCACGGGTGTGCAAGCATGACTGCAGACCCGGAAACCTAAACAGCGTTTCACCTTTACACTTTATATACACATGGACGGTATTTACGCTTACAACACAACCAATGCAGGTACATGGGACTGGCCAGGTCCCACATCCCCCAACATCACCCAGCTTCGTTGGTCAGAATTGGTGGTATCGCGCCTTGACCCCTGCATTTGAAGACCGGCAGGTGGCCTATTATTTCACACGCACACACACATGCGTAGACGCGGGAGTGGGGCCCTCCACGACTAACATCGCAAAATGCCAGTGATATGAAAAGAACGACTTGACCAGGGGAATTGCAGACGGCGATCGGGAGAGTTTATATGTATATTTAGCCGGCGATCATGGGCCTAGAGCCTGCGCAATCGTGTATGAACCCCCTGGCAGGCCATTGATTTGGTCCTCCTTTGGGTCGTCGTGGTCATCTTCGCCCGCTTCGAACGCATTGTCTATGCCCCGAAACAGGACCATTTTTGGCCCTGCTTCGAACAACAATGGCAACGAACCCGCTTTTGGTGAATGACTGATGCTAGACCAGGCTGGCCTATATATATATATAGATTCAGTGTGCTGAAATTGCAACGTCACGTGTCAATCCTGGGTAAATGCTTCCTCGAGGGGCATCGCCAGCACATGATAAATTGCAAATCATTCTATGCATTTCATTGCATGACAAAATTCCTTGAGGGCTCAGTTAAAAGTGTTGCCTCTTACTGCTTGCAGCTGGCGTTGAATTGCAAGACTCATCAAGACGCAGAGGGTGAACCTTTACAAAGAGTGAACTTTTTGTCAGACCTTTGTGGCCCGTCACCTGCAACATCGTGTCGTAAGGCCTTCTGGGGCAAAAATTGAAAGTTCGCTTTGTTTATAATGCAGTCTCCACAGCACTAGTGCCTGTGGCCAGGAGAAGGTGATTTGGGGCCATGGGGCTATGACAGTTGCCTTTGACAATGAAGGTGCCCAAAGCTGTGAAATAGGTGTAGTGGTGTGTAGCGGTTGCAGTCGGCCGCGCAGAGACGGAGAGAGATAGAGAGAGAGAGAGAGTTAGAGTTAGAGTTAGAGTCAGAGTCAGAGTTAGAGTTGGAGTTGGAGTTGGACATAGTTTTGGAATTGTTTTGGGTTTGAGCCTGGGGTTCGTTTCACCCCAGGCAGTGAAGATTCACGAAGCTTCTTGCAGAGAAGCTGGCAGAAGATGTTTCCCAGCCAGATGCCTCAGAAAAATGCTGCAACTCTGTGCCATGTATGCGTCATTTTCCGTCTAAAGGTCCTGGGTCTCGCACATATCGCAATCCCGGCCAAGTGTTTCTGCCTTGGGACTGGTTCAGGCAGCAAGGATTTGATAGAACACCATGGACAAGTGCTGCGTATGTATTTCATTGATCCACAGCCTGAGCCTGAGGTCAATCGAGTGGACACTTCGCCCCTCACAACGTGTGGGAAGCTGAGTAGCTGCGACGAAGCAAACGGACGTGCGTGTTTTGGCTTAAGAATCTACCAGCACAAGATGCGATCAATTCCGAGCTTGGATGTATCAGGTATCGAACTCGTACAACCACGCACTATCTACAATCTACACACCCTACACAGCACTTGTATGCTTAGTAGTGCGATGCCTACAGACTGATGGCCTTTAGAATCCTTTCCTTTGATGGACTCCAAATTTGCAATGCGACGTTCCACGACCATGTTTCGGACTATGATGCGTTGTTTTCCAACATGGACCGATCTGGGTTTATGGGTCCTGACCAGTGGCACACGCAACCTAAAGCACCATTTGGAAGCGCAGCCACTCGGCACCAAGGAGCCAGGCATATGAAGCTGCCCGGGAACACCAGCACAATTTGCACGGTCATGGTGAGCAGACCTTCTAAACACTGAATTGCAGAGGGGCTAGTGTGGCCAGACTTGTCCACGCAACTCTAACTCTCTCCCTCTCTCTCCCTCTCCCTCTCCCTCCCCCTCTCTGAGCCGGGAGTGCCGAGAGGAGTCTAAGTGTCGAATGAACTTCCCCTCAGAGGCGGCCCACTGTTTGGATCCAGTATGACGCCCCCGTCTAAGACATGAGAAGTGCTGTACATCATGGTGTATCATATATATATATATACGTATACTCGCATGACTCGTATGTATATTGATCCTGGTGTGCCATCAGAGGAACGTTGTTTATTCCTTGATTTCTGCACTGGAGCACCTCGAGCACTCCCTGGATTCCAGATTCCAGATGTATAGATCAATAATCAAGGAATCAAGAAAGCGTTGGCTGACCTGGCTGGCCCTTTCTGGCGCAAAAGTCCGCGAACATAATCACAGCGACGTGATGTTGGTTGCTTCCACTTGATTGAGGGGGGCTCGATATGGCCGCAGGCATGCAAGACAAACGAAGATCTAGAACAGGATGCAGTACAAGTACATGAGGAAAGTGAAAAACGGGGACTATGTAGAGGTTTGGTCCACTCCAACCAAAATCATTATATAATACAGTATGCAACATACAACAAAAGCCCGGCCTGCTTGACCTCACTGTGAGCCATGCCATGCGGGTGTCAGGCAAACTCTGCTGTGCCATGTTTGATGGCATTTAGTGTGGCTGTGGTGGGGTTTGCGTGCTGCGCTGAGGTTGCCCCCTGCTGGGGTTGGTAATCCCAGTTGCACGGTACATCATGTAGGCTGTATGCTCTTGATTCATCAAGCTGCTGTAACCCCACCAGACATGGATTGTAAAACCTGTCCATATGGATCCATATGGGCAGTTGAAAAATAATCAAGAGTCTACAGTAGTGAATTTCAATTCGTTTCGTGAGTGTGAGTTTGCTTGATGGCTCTCAGGCCTTCTGAAGCCAACGGCAGCTGGCTATGCTCAGTGGTTTGGTGGTATCTTCCGGTCAACCTATCCCTCGAGACTGAAGTTGGAGTGGGTTTTTCCTAAGTACTAGTAGCTTCTTGCTACTAGTAGTAATGCCAAGAGCTACTAGTAGCGTTCTTGCTGCTACTAGTAGCGATGCACCTTGTTACTGGTAGCGATGCACCTGCTACTATATGATCCTGGTTTCTGTCGAGATCAGGTGAGCTATGTGGAGATTCTTGCAGTTGGCCTTGGCTTGTGGGAAACACTTGCAAGCCATTGTTTATTCACTCCCACTTCCCCGACAACAACATCACCCCTGGACAAACCACAAGTTTAACTGTTTAACCATTCTGATTTGGGGGATCCTCCAAAATCCCGCGCAGGCAGTGACTCTGGTGGCTTCTGGGTGATTCATGGTGCGCTAGTAACATCTGGTCAGGCCGTGGGCCGGACAGTGCCGGCAGGGGGTCTTTCAAAAGGGCAGCCCAACAGCAAAGTCCTCTAGAAGGTTCAGTCGCACTCATCCTTTGAACATGTTCAAGAAGGCAAGCTGCCTTGGGAGCACAATCCTTTCTTTCAACTTGGCCACTCACTTAAAGAGCGGCACGCCAACAAACGCGGCGCGCCAAATCCAGCAATGGATATTCTATTTGAACACGGTGAACATCTAGTGCCTCAAGCGTCTTCAAATTGGCATCTCTGGTGGGGGTGCGATGCTCTGAAACTTTTCCTTTGCGCCCCAACATTGTTCCACAGCACTTGCATGTAAATTCACAGTATCCCAGTATCCCTTCTTTTTTGGTGTGAACCGGCAGGAACGATCTCAATGACTGACTGGAGTGCGGAGGAGGCCCTTTCCGAAAATTCAGTCAAGGACAGCACGGCAACACATACGTTTAGGCCCATTCAGAGTTGCTTCTTGCTAGATTCGTGTCGCCAGCTCCAATTATATGTTTGAAGTGTGCAGACGCAGCAACATTTTGTCGACAACCGCGGACAGGCATTGCACGCAAAAAATCCATCACAAGCCTTATATAAGCATATGCTAGGGCAAGGTAATTATGCATCGCATTTTGAGGTGCACTTGCTGCAGAGAGGAGTGGTGTAGCATCACTCTAGGCCAATGACGATTTCTGAAGTTGATGCGCTTGCCGCTCACAAAGCTATCCACGGAGCAAGAACGGAAGTGACATTGGAGAATGGTGAGAAGCTGGCAGTCGCAAAGAGCAAAAACGGTTGCATGGCCATAAAGTTCCCCAACTTCCAAGCGATGGAGCAGAACAAGTCTAAGGATTCAGCTTGGGCGAAGAAAGCCAAGGCAGGAACAAAAATCACTTGGTTTCTGTCAGGAGCTTCACCAGCAACGTGGGGACGGATTGTGGATGGCAACATTGAAGCTCGTGGCAAGGCCATTGCGGATGAGTCTGGGTCGGCAGAAATGAAACCCGCAAAAGGAAGGGCCAAAGCCAAAGCAGAGGCTAAAGCCAAAGCGGAGGCCAAAGCAGCAGCCAAGGGCAAAGCTGAAGCTAAAGCTAAAGGCAGGGCAAAGGCCAAGGCTGCCGCAAAGAGTTCGGCTGCAAAAAGACCAGCGCCAGAGAAAGAGGAGGACGCAGAGAAGCCAGAAACCAAAAAGCTCAAGGTCGACAGTGTCTCTGCCAGCTCCAGTGGTGCTTCAGATCCCTTGCTCCTGGCACCGTTGTTTGCAGGCATGGGGCATGGCTCTACCTGGCAGGCGGTCCTGAAGCCTGTGATTGAAGGCTTGTCAGATGCTGCGTCTTTCATTGGACCTTCACGGGACAAGCGGATTGTCCCAGTGCGAGAGCTGACCTTCCAAGCCCTAAAACCAAATCCACCCTCAGGATGGCGAGTAGTCTCCTTTGGTCAGTCCCCCTACCCGAGAATTGAGTCAGCCACTGGCATCGCTCATTTCGACAACGCCTTGAAATCATGGGACACCGGCGCTTTTGGAACGGTGACCACGATGCGCTGCATTATGAAAGCTGCTTTGATGAGCAAGTTCAAAATCAAAAAGGAGACGAAAATGCCGGAAGTGCGAAAGCTTTTGAAAAGCAACGGCATCGTTGGTCCTGCTGAATGGTTTCAGGCCATTTTGACCCAAGGTGTGCTGTTGATGAACGCAGCCTGTACCATCCGACCATCTGAAGGGCAGCGTGCTGGGGAGGTTGTCCAGGAACACTTGCTCTTTTGGCAGCCAGTCATTCAGGCCATTGTGCAAGCAATTCTGGAAGATTGTCAGAAGAACAAGCGTCCCATCATTTTTGCATTTCGACTTGGCAAGAGTACAGTGTGCGCTTTGGGTTTGTGATTGTTGGTGCTTCAGGGTAATACCGTAAATCCAGTGGTGCATCATCAACCGATGGAATTACGACATGCGGAGCTGGAGCTGGACAACCCCCAAAAAGAGGATAACATAAGGTGCCCTGGTCACTTCTATAATCTTTGTGCCAGCACCTTTTGTTTCTGCAAGTGAGGCATGGTGGGGTTCTGAGAGCTTAAAGACGAAGAAGTTCCTGGACAAAACCTGCTTTTCGAAGTTTATGTTTGTGAAGATCCGGCACATCGAGCACAAGACACTGGGATTTGCATCATGCAGCAGTTTCTTTTTGAACGACAGTTACTCCCAAACATCATTATGCACAACTGCACACGTAGAATGGGTATGTGACTTCCAGTTCGAGGTTATTGTTCCATAGTCAAATGCTGTTCTGCCAGTCCAGATGCAAGGAACCCCGCGGCCATGGCTGATGCTTTCTGTGATTCGCCCAACATTTTTGACCAAATCAACAAGGCGATCAAAGAGTTGAAGATGGGAGAGCCTATCGAATGGCTTCCAGATTCGTCTTGGAAAGAAAAGTTGGGCATGGAATCGGAAGCAGAGGAGATGGGAGCCTTTGTCGCAGAAACCCAAGAACTGCATAAGATGTACCTGGAGCGGTTGAAAGATGGTCTGGACACGCGGGCAGATGACTTGGACAGCATAGCTGGGGTGATGTCAGCTCCCCTAGTAGCTCTGCCAGAATCCTGCAAGCCTTTGGGCTTGACAGCAGCAGGCAAAGCTTCACAGAAGTCAGTTTCCAAAATTGACAGACAGAGCTTGTCCATCGATGAAGCTGGGGCTTTGCACCTTTATACTACAAATCATCTATACAAGGCACTGAATGCAGCTTTGCGAGATCCCAATCGTATGAAGGCCAAAGATTATTTCATGTATTTGAGGCTCTTCGTCACTGCTTTGGAGAAGCTGCCAACTTCCAAGAAAGAGCTTTATCGTGGGGTAGCCTTGGACCTAGCGAGCCAATACCCAGTAGGAAGCAAAGTTACATGGTGGGCGGTCTCCAGCTGTACACCGGATCTGGGCGTTGCTACCAGCTTCAGTGGATCGAAAACTAGCACCTTGTTCATTATCACTTCGCTGCGCAGTGTTGGCATCAGGGATTTCTCCCAGTACAAAAGTGAGGAGGAATACATTCTGGCGCCGGGCACTCAGTTCGAGGTCACGAAGGTGCTGCGGAAGGCTTCGAAGGTAGAGATTCACATGAAAGACCTCTGGATTTTCTTCAGGCATTTTTTGGTACTTGTGATTATGATAACCGACTAAATTGATGGCGTCTCTCAAAGAAGATGTTAATATGTCTATGTTGATACTTTTTCGACTGCAAGTGCATCCGAGGAGTTAGACCAACCCCGGAGGGTTCAGTGATGTTCAGTGACCGACCTGTGTGTGCAAGATGCGTGGGTTGCCTTTGAATGTTTGTTGGTGTCGTGACACCTCAACTGTACAGAAGTTTGGCCGATCGTTTGTCTAGCTATGGACTCGAAAATCGTGCGCTCCTTGATTCCTTGACTCGCATGTGCAACCATGGTTGCTAAGCAGATGTCATTTCGAGCAGTATCAGTGCCGACACGGGTTTTGCGGCTGCAGGCTATGTCATAGCTTAGTGGTAGGCACACCTATGGTACAGCACGAGCGACCATTTGTCTTCAATAGACGAAACAATCAACGGAATTCAATGCTTATTTCGCATAAACGGCACTGGCTCTTTCATGTTTGGATCGGCCCTAGCACATGTGAAGGGCATGTCAGAGTTGATGTCACTGCCTAGGTTTCGACAGTGCATGAGAACCACTTACTTTTGCAACTTTAGCAGCTTGGCAGATGACGCAGCCTCCATGTCAGACAAATGTGCGTTCACCTCAAAGATGGAGGTTGTGCAACAAATGTTAGGAAGGTTTCCACGCAAAGGGTTCGGAGGAGGAGTTGCATTGAAGAACCTGCCCACCCCATCCGCTACTCCCTGGCCTGCAAAAGACATATATAAGAAATCCGAAGAATATATAACATAGAGTCCCACAGACAATGATATTGCAAGAAAACCAGCAGAGCACCTAGCTGAGAAGGTGGAGTTGTTCCTTCAAAGACCGAGGGAGCGCAGTAAGGAATTGAAGGTCCAGTCATTCCTATTAGGTTGGAGGCCATCGCTACTAGGTTGGAGGCCATCGCTCTTAGGATGGAGGCCATTCCTGGAATTGAAGGAAATCCAGTCAGAGCAGCTCAAGGCTCGAAGGCTCGAAGTCTTCCTGTGCATCGCATTGCTTGTGCATCCGTCCACACTACGTGCTCAAGAAGAAAAGATAGCAGACCTATGTAGAAGGATTTTGGATGGTTTTGGACTTATGCAGCATATGTAGTTCAGCTCATTTCAGACCACCCATGCAAAGCTGAGCAAACTCATCAGGCGCTTCGTGTCGCCTTTTTGTCCAGTGCCAAGCGAAGCTCACATCCGGGAGCTGGGATATGATCTTGGATGAACGAGATTGCAGAGCTTTACAATTACAGTATGTTACAGTAACCTTTAGAACCCAGCTGATTATACAGTAGGCTAAGTCTGCGTCGAAAAGTGGAAGTGTGCAGAGCAACAGGCTCTTGATTGTGTGATGGTGAAGCCACACACACACAAACATGATGGAGTCGTTGCTTTCACAAGCTCCAAAAATGGACATCAACGTGCACCCAACAGGATCAAGGGAAACTTTGGCTTCAGGCTAATCATTGGCCGTTCTGGAGTGAGATGGTCGCATATCTCTGAAGCCTTTTATGCTCAGAGGTCCAGTCCATTCAATTTGCCACGATATGCTGGGTTCATGTGCTTATTGTTGCGCTTTTCTGCGGGGAAGCGGCTAGCACTTGAAGAATTTGGAAACATACACTTAGAAGAAGCAGAACACACAGACAGAATATGCACAACTATGCATGCGATTTATTGGATGCAAACCAAACTGGTACAACTCTTTAGAGTATAGATAGCCGATCCTTTGTCTTTGGCACCTGAGTTGAACTGTGCCATGCGCTGGGTAAGGCCGCAGCCACCCCTACGCTATGTCGTACTTAGACGCCTTTGCGCAGTGGTTGTGGTTTGCGTGTGCTGCTCTCAGGGGTGGGACTGCAAGGTGAGAACGTCATGGCACATTTTTTGCAGCTCTGTCAGATTGATGGGGCAGCAGCGCTGGAGTCCTTGAGAACTGATGGCAAAGTCATTGTTTGTGATTTTGCTGATGGATGAACAGGCTGATGGTTCAACTTCGTGTAGACGTTTGCGAATCCATGGATTTGATAGATCATTTCGCATGGTTTGCCTTTTGCTCAGCAGTTCGCCGTTTTGGGTCCCATCCTGCGGTCGAACCGTCAACATGTTGGCAACAGCCAGTTGCCCACCTGCACATCCAAGGTGTCAATGGGGATGTGCCCACCTCACAGCGCTCCATGGGTACCCGCAGCCGCGGAATCTTGGCCACGCAGGAGCTCCTAGCATCCATGCCCTTTGTTACTGTTACTAGTAACGTCCTCCTGTTCCTAGTAGTAGGGCCAGGAGTGCCCCTAGTAGCGTCCTTGCTCCCAGTAGCGATGCCCTTTGTTACTAGTAA